GCCCGAAGGACGATGGACCTACCTCATAAAATCTTTGACTCACTCCGACATAAATGATTGCTCTCACTCTGCGAAACATCGTGCCACATAGTGTCTCATCGCGAGAGCATCGGTATCGCAGGATCCGACTGATGCATGACCACGACCACTCTGTCAAGAGTGTACGGCTGGAAAGAAGAGAGAATTCCCGCCAAAAACTCTTAAAGTGGGTTTGCCAGCCGCCATCTTTTTAGATTGCAAATTCATAAAATTTAACCAAGATAAAGTTTTTTTTAAATATAAATAAATAAATATTTACTAACAATCACGCCACGTTAACTGGTCCCGTGGTAAGTTCGTAAAGAACTTGTGTTACAGGTTCCACCAGATAACGGAAATAAATGTAAGATTTTTATTATACACATGCATATATTTAATATACATCCATAACCCTGGAAAATACATTTTTATATTTATCATACAAATATCTTCCCTTGGCGGGATTCGAACCCGCGACCCCCTTGTGTAGTGACCATGTCACTTACCACTACACCAGACGGCCGTTAAAGGCCGTAAAGTTATTTCGCAAATAAATTATAAAATCCGATTAATGTACTAAAATAATGTTATCTGGAGTCATATGTAATAGTAGTGGTATATCAGCAAGATAGTCATTTAGTTTATTGCAATGCATTCATGATTGCTGATGTAAATCAACTCGTTCTAGATAAAAAGGTAATCCTTAATAGGACACTTAAAAGCCTCATTTCCCAAAGTGGGTGGTATCCTTTGTACTAATTTTATTTCCGATCACATAATATCAAATTAAAATAGAAGGGAATAAATAGAGGTATTAAAAATAGGCGCCTTATTTCTTAAAAGTAATAAAGTGCGACTGATTTATATTTTATTCCACGGTAGATGGACCTCAATAAAATTATTTTAGCAGAATTTCACATTAACGCTTTATGAGTAGACGCTCCACCGTCTAATAAGCGGTTACCGATGCCCATGGACATCACGATTTGAACAATGCCACCCACCTTGAACATTGTGATCCGAGTTTCAATTTTATCACCATTAATTACCCAAACTACAACTCTGAGGGTTGATTTTTATTAGACGATATTTATTATTCCGTTATCGTCAGGCGTTCACGGATACGTGTCCTAGGAGCAGGCTTAGAGATCCCGGAACCGTACTCGTCGAACTCGGCAAAGAGTAACCCACGCATTAGCCCGCTGAGTTTCTCGTCGGATCTTCTCAGCGGGTCGCGATTCCGATTCGGTAGTAGATTCATTCGCGAAGCAGCTACTCTTGAGTTCTTAGATTTTCTTCGGAGACGCTCGGGCGGCTGTTAGCAAATCCCACCCCTCCAAGCTGAGCCTTTGCTCGCCCACCTGCCCTGGTGAAACTGGAAAGGCTTCCGGACCACCGGTAATAATTCAATCATTAAAAAAAGGATACGTGATAAGCACGTATTTCCTTAGAACAATAAAATATATGTATTTTATGTATATGCTCTGAATTACATAATCTTAATAATAGTAAAAATAATGAAAATAACGCAACTGGTATGTTATTCAAATGATGTGAGGTCAAATAAAAATTACCGAACTTGAATTTATTATTTTATTTATTTTGTGTAATTAGTTAACCAGAATAAATTTTTGACGAGAAGCTACTTCCTTCCGCGTTAAATAGAAACGTTTTTTTTTTTAAATCACAAAATTATTTGAATTCCAACTTCATTTTTAACGGACAGGTGATTTATTATTTTCTGTTAATAGCAGTTATGTGATATAAAATGAGCTAAAGGTAATTGGAGACCGTAAATCGTTGGTGGTAGACATTTTTAGTTGTGTGTCGGTTGAAGTTCTATCATGCATGTAGTACGGTCGGCGGTATAACGCATTCCGGTCAGGCAGGCTGGTTCTGACCCAACGTGGTATCCCGAAACACCAGCGGAATCGCCCGGGCTGCCTTGCCGCGAGGATCGACGTCTTTGGTCGTCAACCTCGACGACCCGTCGGTCGGGCGTCCTCGAGGTGGCGCCGCGAGTCTGGTTGTAGTATTGACCGCGGGAACCCCCCTACTCTGACCGGGCTCTGACCGCGGGCGGAAATCAGACGTCGGGTGTAAGACGGCAGGGAAGTTGTTTAGTGCGGTAGTGCCCTAAAAATATCCTACGACCCGCGATTCGCAGTCACGGATCAGTCCCACAAACACATCGTAGGGGTCCGGCCCGAAAAATAATGCCCGGGACACTCATATCGAGCGATGCGATTGCCCCGGTGTTAGCAGACACCAATTTTTATAAGGAACTACGTGATTTACATAATAATATGTTCACGAGTGACTTCCACGATGAAGGAATAACATCATGTAATAAAAATCAAACGCGCGAAATTATAATTTGCGTATCGTGTAATTTACTGATAATAGGACATCTCGTGAGCCCGCACGGGTAGATACGACCACCCCGCTTATTTTTGCCGTGTAGGTAGCTGGAGCTTTTCCAACTATGTCTGGTAAGAAAGCTCACGGGGCTTAACCTGAGGGTGTTCTAACACGGGCTTAGCAAGAAGCGGTTTGGCTCCGTTATGAACTACGCACTTGGCATCAACCCGGCCGCGCCGTGTATTCGTAAGAATGCCTGATTACATTTTAGCCAACCCGAAATAAAACATTGGCAGTCAGTTTTGGGGGCACCATTCATGGCCAGACACTAACCAAAGACCGATCGAGAAAAATACGTATTCAGTAAAAGTTTTAAATCTATATATAACAAAAAATGTGTCTTTTCGGGGTTTTGAAGTCGTCGTGGCCTAAAGGATAAGACGTCCGGTGCATTCGTATCTAGAGATGCACCGGTATTCGAATCCCGCCGGCAGGTACAAATTTTTCTAATGAAATACGTACTCAGCGAATGTTCACGATTGACTTCCACGGTGAAGGAATAACATTGTGTAATAAAAATCAAACCCGCTAAATTATAATTTGCGTTATTACCTCTAGTAGGACCTCTTGTGAGTCCGCACGGGTAGGTACCACCACCCCGCCTCTTTCTGCCGTGAAACAGTAATGCATTTCGATTTGAAGGGCGGGGCAGCCGTTGTAACTATACTGAGACCTTAGAACTCATATCTCAAAGTGGGTGGCGGCATTTACGTTATAGATGTATTTCGGCTGTAAGCTCCTCCATCAACCTGTACCTACAATAAATAAAAAAAATGTACGTTCACTCCCCGGATCGTCCTACTGTCTAGGAACTGTGACAACTATTTATTGGGCGAATTTCGTGATTCTTCGAAAACAACAAGAAGCGATAGCATGTTGATTGATGCTCTTATTGGTATCAGGGCGTATTATTGGTCCGGTAGCACCATCTTGCTTAATTCTGCCGAGAAGCATATGCCTAGAAGGGCAATAAAAAAAAAAGAAAAAAGTTCCTGTTTAAAAACGGATGGGAACAATGCTATAATACAATACAATTTAGACTTCGACTTCTACGATAGAATGGCAACATTCACACTGTGAGGCATGAGCTCCACGAAATTTTTTACATCAAGTGGCCCGAAAACTGAATCACCCATTAGTTAATAAAAAAATTATAAATAAATAAAAAATATTTTTAGCAGCATTTTAATGAAATTCACTAGCTCTGCTTTTTTTTATGATTAAAGGATTACTGGTGGCCCGGAGGCCTTTCCAGTTTCACCAGGACAGGTGCGCGAGCAAAGGCTCAGCCAGGAGGGGTGGGATTTGCTAACAGCTACCCGAGCGCCTCCGAAGGAGACCTAACAGCTCAAGAGTAGCTGCTTCGCGAATGAATCTACTACCGGATCGGAATCGCGACCCGCTGAGAAGATCCGGCGAGAAACTCAGCGAGCTGATTCATGGGTTAGGTTGCACGGCGAACTCTTTGTCGAGTTCGACGAGTACGGTTACCGAGGTCCCTAAGCCCGCTCCTAGTGTTAGAGCTGAAGGCGTCTAATGCAATGGTTATTGGATCTGATGGATCCGTAAGGACGTGTCTAGGGCGTCGACGGTGACTGGCTCCTGCGTGATCAGGATTCGGGGAGTAGTCAGCGGCGGCAACGATAAGGCGATTATCATGACGACTAGCTCTGCTAATGGAGAAAGCAAAAAAATTTCAATTCTTAGATATTTACTCTGTATTTAAATATAACTGGAATTCTGGTGAACTTATTTAATTTGCCGTAAAGCTATTGCTTATTGTCGTTTAAATACCCTATTAAAAATCTATACGTATTGAGTATAATATATTTAAGTATATGTGTATGTAGTATTGTTTTTTTAGTTACGTTATTATAGTTACCTTTAGATTAACTGAAGTAAAACACTTATGTCCTATACATAAGGATGAACCACTGTACTGTATATCAGAAACCAATAAAAAACTATTTTTAATAACCTCAAATTCGTATATTCAGTAATTTTTTAAATTAATTCATTTCAATTAAGTATAAATCTTTTTAAGTCTACATTCGAAACATAACAACATTGTTTGATTGAATTTTAAAGCACACTAAGCAATCGCCAATGTGCAATACAAATGTAGGAACACAAAACAAAATACCTAAGTATAGTTTTCAGTTCAATGCTTAACGGAATGCAGTTTTTATTCTGCATTCTAAACAAAAACCAACAAATTCCGACGTCATCAAATAATAGCGGAATTCGTTAAAACAATAATCAGAAAACATTGGTTTCGTGATAAAATATAATGAAAAGAAAATAGAATTTACATTAACGTGTAGATTCATCAAAATTAGATATAGGTATGTACATCAGTGCGGTGCATACAGTAAACATAACCCGTTTATTGAAAACTAAATATTAAATCAACGATCGAAACACGATTATCTAGGTATCGGCCCTCACTATCACTTCTCCATTAGTTCGGTAAACATTTAATCATGTCTACGCAATTAACATAATTTATTGGATTTAGAACAAACAGTTTCCAATCTTAAAACTAGGTTCTACAAACATACCTGTTGCGGAAGCGAGCAGGGGAGAGCGGACCCGTCCTTCCGGGTTTCTTCCACTTTTCACATGGACTCCGAACAGTTATTGAAACTTTTACTGTACTTCGGTAAACAAAACAAACAAAATAAAACAACAAGCAGCCACTGAATTTAAACGAATCACAATCTCATAGCATCATTCACATGCGATTAATATTATTTCGTTAAAATTCGCGGACGTAACGTGACGATTCAAAATTTCCAATACGAAAATTGAATCGTACGTGTCTTGGGCGATTGGTCGCGACGCGTGTTAACCGCGCTACAGGCGAATGTCAACTGGCAAGCGGGAAAGACAAGTGTATTATCTGTGGCAAAGACGGCCAGTGAATGAGGATTGTCGGCGAGAGGCCGCCTCGCAAACACGGAGTTGAAACCTTCGAGATTTAGTGCCTGGTGAAGTCTGGTCCGACAGGTCACAGTCTACTGTTTACAAAACATAACTAATGAGCTGAGAATGTCATCGTCACGATTTCGTTGCGAGTAAATCGTTTCTGTCGTTTTTGACGAATTAAGCCGGGTACCTAGTCGTTTTGTTTGCTTACGACTTTTACTTATTCAATATTAATGTCTCATGACATATTTATGTAAAAAAACGATCGCTGTACAAAAAGTAAAACTGACATCATTAAATGTGTAACAAGACAAAACACTACAATCAATTTCAATTTGAAAAGCCACGAAATGGTAGTGGAGCTTTTAAATAATAATTTTAATGAATTTTGGAGGGTAGGTACATAGTGAAAGGCTATTTGGTTTAAACAACATTTCGCTTAATTCGCGACATAATATATCTTTGTAATTAAAGGTGCTTTTTATTTGGTCATAACATCAACGGTTCGACTTTTTTAATTGAACTTCAATTAATTTTACTTCATTCAAATATCGGAAGGAGTTTTTTGTTATTATATTTTTTTCACATTTTCAACTTTAAATGGCTGTCTTGTAAAGTTGCAAAAAAAAACACTTAAACCAAAAGCCTTACACCCCTCGACATGAAGGTAATCAACTAAAATATTGTGATGATCTCGAAAATAAAAGATCGCCAACATCAATTAATTGGTACCCAAATGTTTATTTAAAATTGAATCTAGTTCTAAATATGCACCTTGGGACGAATTTTGTGTCGTGATATAACGAATAAGACACACTTATGCCGGGATTAAAATCTCGCAGTTTCTAAGGAATTATGTACCTTACTTGAGTCTTACAGACGACTTCTACGTTAAAGGAAGAACATCGTGTAACGCAAACACAGCTCGTAAAATTTAAAATTTCTTCTTATCAGCCCACAAACGTCCACTGCTGGATATGGCGTTTCGGTTTGAAGGGTGGGGCAACCGTTGTAACTATAATGAGACCTTATAACTTATATCTCGAGGTGTGTGGCGCATTTACGTTGTTGATGTCTATGGGTTCCAGTAACCACTTAAGACCAGGTGGACTGTGAGCTCGTCCAAAAACCTAGGCAATAAAGAAATAAAAAATGGGCCTCCCCAAGCCTCACCACAAAGATCGGTCCTGCGCTGCTTGCATCGAGCAGATCCCCGCGAACCTCGATAGATCGTCGGTCCATCTTTTGGGAGGTCTACCCACGCTACGTCTTCCGGATCATACGATCTACGTCTTTGTAGATAATTGTGTTATGGCTTACACAAAACCACCACCACCATCACCATCTTGTCTACTTCTACCGCGAATCAATCATCCATTTCTGTATTAAATTATCAATGTGCTTATTGCGAGTTTTTTAAAGTTCTCGATAGCGTATGAGTTAGGAAATTTAAATTTGTACGCAATTGGAACAGCGCCCCTGGCGGCAAACGTAGGCAGCCGTTCCAACTCCATACAAATTTGAGTTAACTTTTACGCTATCGAGAACGTTAAAAAACTACAAACACTTCACTAAAACACTTTTGGTTCAAGCGTGTTCTATAGATCGTTTCTGTCACGAGACAATCTAGCGTTCCGGTCTGAAGGCGACAATTGTAATATTTGTAATACAAGTGAAATTTCAGTCGGACTTTATAGATGGGGAAAACATTCACGTTCTATTTTGTCTTTAAATTAATTGTTCGCTTCTGCCAATAAATAAAAACATGATGGAAGTTTCTAGCAGTTACCCGTCTACTTCTTGAAATACTTATCTAATTCAAGAACAGCTTATTTTAGGGTACGGGGTAAGACAATCGGTATATTTATGGCTTATGTTCAATAGTTCAATTTGACGATAGGCAGCGGCTTGGCTCTGCCCCTGGTATTGCTGAAGTCCATGGGCGACCCTAACCACTCACCATCAGGTGGGCACGCTCGTCTGTCTACTAGGGCAATAAAAAAATAAATAAAAAAAAGTTAATGTTGAACAATAAGAAAATGATTCAATAAAAAATCCAAATAGTCATAAATAATTGTATAATTTTACCTTTGTTCTTTGAATTCATTTAATTTTTTGCTACTTTCAAAGTTTCAAGTTGCTGTGTTCAATGCAGGAAATTCAATATTCCGACCGAGTCGACATTCACTAAAGGATTCCAATGTTAAAGGTAACAACCAAAACGGTAAAATCAAACTTACGGGGGAAATGTGTGATTTCTTTGCCAATCTACTTCTAGTAGCTTCGAGGGGTTATACCTACTAGCTCACGGGGCTAAGCCTGGAAGACTTTTCTAACATGGGTATATGCGGTAACCGGACCAGCGGTAGACGTATCTACGTTGTTACTATCCGTTCGTCATCCTGCTTAGGTTCTAAAAAGCGTCAGGCAGGATACCAACGTGTGATATAGCTGTTCTGACGTAGTTGTGTTTATGAAAATCAAAATGACTTCACTCGAGATGTCATACCAAAAGAGCCACGTAGCGAGTTAGTTTTAACCCTTGCATTGGACGTCTTCAGCTCTTACCGTTAATCGTACTCGTCGAACTCGACAAAGAGTTGTGCAACATTACCTAAACATCAGCCTGCTGAGTTTCTCGCCGGATCTTCTTAGCGAGTTGCGATTCCGATCCGGTAGTAAGATTCATTCGCGAAGGAGCTGCTCTTGAGTTGTTAGGTCTTCCTTGGAGGCGCTCGAGTAGCTGTTAGCAAATCCCACGCCTCCTGGCCCTTGCTCGCCCACTTGTCCTGGTGAAACTGGAAAGGCCTCCGGGCCATCAGTAATCCCTCAATCATTAAAAAAAAAGCGAGTAAGCAGTGAGGATCGTATTGCCATACATACTGAGAAAACCGAGGCGACATTATGAATAACATCGGCCATAAGAACACATCAGACTACTTACCTACCCTTCTAGAGCATAATTAATTAAAATTAAAGTACTGCGTAATCTAGAACAGTGAGGCATTTACTGTTACCATATACGAACAAATTAAACTTCCTTTCTTTTTGAACACTTTTCGAGCAATTACTGCATTCTGTAGGGCACCGTGCCAATGTGCGCGGTCATTAAAACACGTAAATAACACGAAGCAATTAATTTTCTAAGCTCAGACGTGCTTCCGGGAAGCAACGCCTACACGCTTTGTTTTCCTGAACACATTGTTTAGGTAAACTATAATTTCGCAATTGTATTTTAACATAGTCACGTCTCTCTTAAAGTCGACGCGTTGAAAACACAATCGGTTAATGTTTATTTGCCCTAGATGCTAAAACAACCTTACAATAAAACTTAGAATAGCAGATCAACGTTTCTTGTTCTTCTTTTCAGTAGCCGGCCAAAATCACATGGAAGGGCAAAAATGTTACATACAGATCTAACCCCCTCAATATAATAATATAGCCGAAAGTTATTATACCGAAAGTAATTTTCGAGAGGTAAAGAAATAGCATTTTTTTTTAAATACCCTCTGTATTTATTTTTATTGCTTTTGCAGGCAGTCGAGCATACGGCCCACCTGATGGTAAGCGGTTACCGTCGCTCATGGACGTCAGCAATGCCAGCCAAGCCGCTGCCTACCATTGAGCACCCTCCACAAGCCTCGTTTGAAGAAGGATATGTCAAAGCGCTCGGGAAATACCGCGGAGGGGAGCTCATTCCAAAGGCGGATGGTACGTTGTCGATGAACGGGTTCCAGACAATATGGATGAACTCTGATCCGCTGGCGGGAGGTGTGATGGTAAAAAGCAAGGAATTTGGATGTTCACGACGAAACAAAAAAAGGGTTGATAGAATATCAAATGCGTATTTTTTAATTAGCAATTGAGTTAGTAACAAACCATAAATAGTCATATAATATTCCACAACATTTAGATGTGATTATTACAGCCAATAATGTTTTTGAATTTATTGTTTTTTTTTTGTTGCTTAGATGGGTGGACGAGCCCACAGCCCACCTGGTGATAAATGGTTACAGGAGCCTATAGACCCACCTTGAGATGTAAGTTGTAAGGTCTCAGTATGGTTATAGAATTATTTTACCATACTTTGTCAAGTCATCCAGCCAATAAGAATTTTATAAATAAAATGTACAACTTACTCGATAAACTTGCTTGCTCCATTAGCTATCTAAAAGCTACAATGATAGTATTAGAATGTAATGAAGATCATTTATTTGAAATTTTAATGTATTTATATGAAGTAAAACGAGATGAGACGAAATGAAATAACATCCCAGCAGCAGGTGGGAATTTACTGTCGCTTTTTGGAGGAAACCGTAAAGCCACATATAACGACTTTGTTCTAATTTCCCCACACATGTGCACTTTCACAGACGCTAAAATATAAATAAGCTACCATTAATACATATATAAACCTGAAGGAACACTACTTCTACTAAATGAAACTATTCTTTACCATTGAATCAGTATTGAAATTTATACAAATAAAACATTTGATTTAATAAAACACTCTTAGCTATCAACATTTATTTTCAATCATATATAATTTTTTTTCATTTCAAGATTATAGTTTTCTATTTCCAATCTCTAAAGTATATTAATATTTAGATTCGAGTCCATTCCAGCATATACAGGGCGTACAACAAAAAGAAAAATTAAACCTTTAATTAAACATAATAACTTAATTAAATTAATTAAACGTAAAACATAAGTATTTTTTAATTTAATTAAAACTCATGTTCATCATTGAATACAATCAGCTTTACTTTTTCCTTAGGTTCATTTTATTTTATGTATATAGATGAACGAGTTCATCTAATATTAAGAGATATTAACATAGCCCAGAGATCCCAGTCATTGCCGCCACTCATCTCAAAATCATCATCAACAACTAACCTGTGCTTCAAAACTGGAAAACAACAGCTTTACAGTATGTATAGGCAGAGTGGCGGTACCTACCCTTTCAGACTTAAAATATGCCTTATGTAATAATAGAAAATAATGAATAAACAAGTCATGTATACTTAACTATTCAATTATAACAAATGATTACTTAAAATTATATATGTCATACCTATGTTTTTCTTTTTATAGTTTCAAAAATATGACATTCAGACAATTTAGTTTTCACCGGCATGAAAGCCCTGTAATAAATTTGCAAACAACAAAAAAAAATCTTCGTCATTAAGCATTAAGATTTCAAACACAAAATTTTGAAATTCATATAATACTACAATACTTCTGTGTATTCTTGTTTTAACGTATCCTTTTGTAGAGGAAACTACCGTTGGTAGAACCCCAGACCCCATCCCTATAACTGTGGTTTCACATCCTTGTTGAGGATCAGAGCCGGATTCTGCATGTCCAACTGGCACTGAGCAATATCACTCAGAGCACCCTGAATCTTCTCTAGAAGAATCTCTCCTTGACGGACTACCTGTAGAATTATTAAATATTGCCTGACATTATTATTAACGCTAATGAAAAGAGAGTAAGTCATGTGTAATTATTTTCATATCGACGCTTGAAAGGCAAACGTGACTAAAGCAACAATAACTGGTTTATACATGATAGGCAATAACCATATTCAATGCGCAAAAAAATATATTTCTAGGTCTATTAAAATCATGTCAATCCATGGCTAGATTCGTTAAAATATATTTTTTTTCAGGTATTTCATCTTTAAATTAGTCTACTGTAAAGTTCATGCATTGTCGCTTAGTCACGTTTGCCTTACAAGCATCGATATTATTACTTCCAATATTTCGAATACTATAAGTTTTTGTAGTCATGGCAATCTAAAACATGGGATTAGTCTGTAAACACCCTATGGGTTTTGAAAATTGAATAAAGTAATATTCGCTGATAAAATTCCAGTGTCCCATCTCAAAATGAAGTTAAGGAAACAAATTTAACCAAATCGCTATTACTGTCAAGTTTGTCTTAAGTAGGTAATTTATGTTTAAATATCGGTGCTTGTTTACATTATAAAAGTTGACTATAGACAAAATACAATGTCTGTAATACAAATACTTTCTTGGAATATTTGATTTTACATTCAAATGGCAATACAAAGGCAAACTGCATGGTATAATTACTTCTTTAAAATCATTATTTTAATGGTTTAGTTATATGATAATTCCCAATTTATGATAAAAAAGAAACCTAGTGTCCTTTGAGATAAATTGCACGTGTATTGGGCACGGAGAGTGGACAGCCCTTACCTCTTCAAGTTGTTCAGCAGCCTCCTTGTTTTCGGCCTCAAGTCGCCTAAGGCTTTGCACTTGCAGCTCAGTTGAACTCTCTTCACTGGGCAAAGACTCGATGAGCGTGTCAATGTCCTTAGCACAACGAGAAATTAGAGCCGCGAATAAAACCGCATAATCCTCTTGACTCTGCGGTTGTTGAGGAGTCTGAGAACCACCGCGTTCGAAGCCTGGGAACTTGCTAGGCAACGAGAACTGCTGTAGAATTCCGATGCTGTTACAAAAATTCTCAGCTTGCTACAAATAAATAAATACAACGTATGTGAAATTGTATTAATGTCAAATATAACGAAATGTTCATTTTTGTCATACGTACTTGGTTTATGGTATCTTGAAGCTGAGTTAAGCGATCAGCCATTATTCAATTCAGATATTTATCCTACTAACCACTGTTAAAATTTAATCCTTATATGGATATTTTCTATGGAAGGTGGTTGTAAGCTACCTACAGTATCAATTTGTAAAACTCATAGACCTAGGTTTCCTACTTCAGTGGTAAAACTACCTTTTGAATGAAGTTATTTGAAGTTGAACGTTGTGACGTTTTTAAGTAATATTTCCAATATTTCCAGGTGGAAAGGCGAAGATATCACAAACCATACATCCTAGTCTTTTGTATGTACATTATATTTTCTTTCATGAAAAATGATAATATGGAGCGAAATGAAATAAAGTTGATTCATTTGAGACATTAATCCAAAATCCAAATAACTTGAAGTTCTGTAAGGAAACAATTATATTACGATCGTTTAACTTTGGCGTGCAGCAAAACAGTACCTAATTTGGAATAGTAACGCCATTTTAAGCCCGTCCGCCACCGGAGTAGAGCTCATCCATACTATCTGGAGCCACTGCGTTCACCCACAGTGCGTTTCCAGAGATCTTTTTTGCCACGTACCATACGGCTTTGGAATGAGCTCCCCTCCACGGTGTTTTCCGAGCGCTATGACGTATTCTTCTTCAAACGAGGCTTGCGGAGAGTACTTAACGGTAGGCAGCGGCTTGGCTGTCCCTGGCATTGCTGAAGTCCATGGGCGATGGTCACCACTTACCATCAGGTGGGCCGTATGCTCGTCTGCCTACAAGAGCAATAAAAAAAATACATTTAGAACTGCAATCATTCTGATCAGTATTAAAATTTAGAAAACCATTTCTCCGTTATATACATTATAAGCTAAATAGTAATGTTGCTAATAACAGGACCACTTGACGTTTCGGTTTGAAGGGTGGGGCAGCCGTTGTAAGTATACCTTAGAACTCATATCTCAAGGTGGGTGGCGGTATTTACGTTATAGATGTCTATGGGCTCCGGTAACCACTTAACACTAGGTGGGCTGTGAGCTCGTCCAAACAAAATCTACGCAATAAAAAAATTTAAAAAACTTTAATTATAGGCAATTCAATGAATTTCAAAATTTCCTTTATTTAATTTAAGCAGTGTACACAATAGGTAACCATAATATTACCGACTAGAAAAACATCACAATTATTGAGTATTTAAGTATAATAAAAAACCATTAATTAACCTCTTTCATTTCAGACCTTAAACAATTCTTTATAAGTTTTAGTTATTCAATGAAACAACATTAACAATAAGCTGGATATAACGAGGTTGTGTGTTCAAACATGTTATTGTTTAATGACTACTACAACTATTAGTCTAATTCAATCTAAGCCAGCTGTGTTATAGTAAAATTGGCAGAACTTTACTAATTTGTAAAAGTTTTTCTGTTTCATTTCGCTTCGTGTAAGCCATTTTTTTTACAATCAACAAACACCTCCTGTCGCGCAATAAGTAAATATCAAATCCTCGCGTCATTTTTGTAACAACTAAAATACATCAAGAAGTTGCGTCGCAGTGTGTGTAGGCTACCAGCGAATAGGTAGGAAAAAAAAACTTCCATCACCGCTTTCGCGCTATTCTCGTACGAATTAACAATAAAAGACTAGATAGCTTTCAGCCTAACCTGCACTCTTTAAAAATAACTAAGCATTTGCGGTATCACATTTTTATGATAGAAATCCGCCATTATCGAATTTAATTTGCTTAGAAGTTAACAATAAAAATTGCTAAATTAGATTTTTGAGTACTGTATGTACATATCCGACATAGCATCTCATTTATTTATAAATTAAGTACAAAACTTTACTAATAACAGCAATATGAATATAATTCATTGGCATATAGCAAATAAAAATTCCCATTCCGATATTACTCCCAATTTTTTTAGTACCTATCTATATTATCGTTTGTAAAGTAAGAAAGTGAGCGCAGTTGGTTGAATAAACTAGCATTCGAAGCATGCGCATTAGTTTTTAAATATTGCAAGTCTGGCTACCGCCATCCTTGTCTGACGAACGATGTTACGCATTAACTCTCTCACTCTACTTTGGATCTAGGTTTCCATCTTTATCAGCTAGCAACCCCCGTTTGCGGCCACATTTACAAAGACAGAGGTTTTAAATTGTGCACAGAAAAAAAAACACACAAAACCTCGCGATTGTTATTAAAAATGTTTTAAAACAATTTAGGTAAATTGTTTGAAAACTTCAAAGCTTCACACTATAGTACCAAAATTATTATCAAATACCTTAAAATTATAGATCTATTCTTAATTTATTATCAAATTTTATGCATAAATATAGTTATAAACATAGCAACAAGTAATGACTATTTACTAAAACTCTTAAAAAATCACACAATGAAATAGTTTTAACAATTCACAATTAGTTTTGTTAGAGAGCATCACAAAGCTTAACTTTTCTTTTAGAATCAAGTGCAAACAATCCTGCTAAGTATTGGATTTAGCTGTAATTAATAAAATTTTCAATCCTCATTAAAGCTTTACACTGAAGGGCGAGTACGAATAATTATCGAAAAAGTATCCGTATCGCTATCGAGAAAAAATAGATAGGATATAAACTAGAGATGAAACGGATATCCGGTAACTATCCGCTATCCGTCCATGTTTTTACTATCCGGCCGGATACCGGATAGAAATTCAGTATTTGTATTTGTTTTTCTTGATCGCGAAAATCACTACTATTATCCTTTGCCACTTCATTGAAACGCGCACGAATATTTCCGAAATGGCCGAATATCCGGCGCTCCGGCCTCGCAGCTTGCCGAATATTCGGTATCCGGTATCCGGCCAAACCACTATCCGTTTCATCTCTAAAATAAACAGCACCCCTACCGTTGGTTAAAAGAATTAATCAACATTAAAGCAACTCGAATGAATTTATTTACTTTCGTTTCGCAATCAAATCGTCACATTCTCGAAACTCAAGTATACTCATAATCGAGAGCATGAAAATTGTTTTGACATAAGGTAACGTAAATCTCGAAGGCTGGTTATCGAGTACTACCAACTAATGCAATGATCCGTTTTTGTATAAAGGACTCAATATATTTACAATACGAATTCGATAGATTTTCGTGCTTGACATACAGTATGTTGAAAGCATTACTTCTAATACAACTCTTTACCGTCAAGATAGTCATATCTCACCACTGCTCACCACTTTATTTGTTGCCGTAATTTATTTATCCTTTGGCCCTCAGACATCAATAATTATAGTATTGTGTGAGCAGACAAAACCAGAGCAATGAGTTAAGAATATTATATGATTTTATTTAAATAAGTACGTATTTAATTTATACATTTAACAACAAAAGTATACTAAAGAGTCATATAGGCCAGGACGTAAGCACACAACTCAAGTAAACATTGGACATTTAACAGTCTTGGTTGGTAAATAGATTCAAGATATCAACCAATTTAATTCATTAATTACTAACCAATATGCTTTCACAACATGATTTCTATATTTATTGCAGACAAAATGTAGATATTAATAAAGTCATAAATACTCATTATTACAACATTGATTTCACAAAAAAAATTATTTAAAGTGAAACAGACACAATTTAAGGCTTTATATTTCTCCTATAGGGAGTCAAGTTATGTTTAGCGCCTACTATTGAATACTGCTAAAAATCTGATATAAACATTAATTTAAAAAAAAAAAATCATCATGTTTATTTTAACAGCATATTCCAGTATAATTGTTTATGGTTACTTATTCAATGAAAATGTGATATAATCATGATGAGCTTGTATCTATGACCACTACAGTATAACATCTTTTACTAACTCGAATACAGTGTAATATTGTCACAGTTTGGAAAATAGATAATTATAAAAAAAATTTAATTTCTAAAATTATTTTAGGATAAACAAAGAGTGCAAAAACAAGATATCCATTACATTGACTAGAATAATAAGGTACAGTGTGGTATAATATCCTAATGAGATTAAAGACCAAAATGGGAATACATGATTATCGTGCAAGTGCACCTAATTTACTCCTTAAACTAGAGTCTTCCGGTAGAGCTAACGCCCATTTCCTTAAACCAACTAACATAACAGAACTCAACACTAAAACAGCACCGCAAATTGAAAATTTACTTGGGATTTCATTAAAAAACATCACCTGCCATAGAAAGGCGAAAACAATATCAGCTGATCGAGCTATTGCTACTGGGCCTGCCTGTTCTAATTGTAATGACATTGTTAATAAGATCTGACCCAAATAACTAAACAATGCCAGACAAACAACAAGGAAACGTTCTGTGCCACAATTTGGCATGCATAGCAAGCCAAAAACAAATGAATAGACAAATGTTTGTAAAATTGCTATAGCTCCAAAATTTGTCATGATCACTGAAAAATGTAATCCTTTGAGTACTCTTAGAAGAACATAGGCATTGGCACCAAATATTGTCGATATAAATGCAGCTACAGCTCCTCTAAGACTGTTATAGTTTGAATTATGTTCTGTTACTGTACCACCAAATAAAAATGGCGGATGTGTTATTAATATAACACCAATTAACGTAAGAATTATGGAAATTGTATTCCACATACCGCAGGGTTCTTTTAAAAAAACACGCGCGAAAAGTGCTACGAAAACGGGCACAGAGAACACTATGACGGATGCATCTGCTAGCGGCATATTCCTGAATGCATAAAAACTCAGCATGAGGCCTACTGTTCCGACAATGGAACGTAAAGCTAGCAATAAACGTTTACCTCGTGGAAAGACTGGCTGCTCGGTGTATACAACTATAGGTATTGTCGGTAAAAGTACTCCGATGAACCGAAACATTGCCAGTTGCATTGGATCTATGTTGACTAAACTCTTTACTATAACTGAACATAGTGAGAAAAATAGAGAAGATAAAGTAGCTAAAATCAAACCAAGATACGGACACCGCTTTATAAGAGGTCTCTTGTTCTCGAGTAGATTGGGGATGGACTCATCCCCGCTGCCGACTGACATATCCACGAGTTGTTGAAGTTCCACATGTTCTGGCATAGCGAAACTGAAAATATTTTACTAATTATTAAATTTAACGACTTGGCTTTGTAAATATTTAAAAAGCGTACTAATATCAGGATATTTAACATACCTTTTCAATACAAAATTGATTGAAACTACTATCGAGCTATTGTTGTAAATTATAACTTTTTATCACACATTATTCTGTTAAAAACCAACTACGACTTCTTTGGCTGTTGTGCATTAAACTTTTCTATTTTATGGTATTTCTGTTTTGTGTTAGGTAAGTACATATTTATATCAACATTTTATNGTACTAATATCAGGATATTTAACATACCTTTTCAATACAAAATTGATTGAAACTACTATCGAGCTATTGTTGTAAATTATAACTTTTTATCACACATTATTCTGTTAAAAACCAACTACGACTTCTTTGGCTGTTGTGCATTAAACTTTTCTATTTTATGGTATTTCTGTTTTGTGTTAGGTAAGTACATATTTATATCAACATTTTATCTAATAAAAACAAATCTTTTTAATTTCTGTGAAGCGATGACATTTGTCTCTCTCATAAACATTTTATGGCTGGTAACGAGACCTTTTAGGTAGCCAACATTTAGGTTGACATTTAGAAACTCAAAGAGAAAAGTAATAGAACAAAAGCGTTTTTGTTTTATTTACAGAGAGAACAAATCTTTGAAGGGAAAAGTTGTTTAAAAAGCAACAAGAGAAGCGGTGCCACATCCGAGATAGTTAATAAGGTGGACATCATTCTCCGGATTTTTCCAAAGAGTCAACTATAATAACCATATTACATTCACACAAGTTCATTGAAAGGCTATTTCGTTTCATCCATTCTCTCCTATTTTAATTTAATTCCTTAATGAACTTCATATTAATCAACTAAAAGATCTTTCAAATAAAATATATTTAATGAAACAGGCTTATTAATATTTAAGGTGTCTTTTTTTATGTCTCAATCAGTTTTTTTAATTCTTTTACATGTCAATTTCCTTCGTCCCTCTTTTTTTGTACAGAGGGTAAAAATGTAAGGAGGATCTTATGGGACAAGTTGAAAAAGTGTCCACTTGTAAACAGTAAGTAATTGTTGGAAGACTCACCAAAATAGCGCTATTGTAGGAAATGGAAATTATATGAAAAGCAGTTTTACACAGAGTGCTGGATTGAAGTATATAATATTTTTCGTGATTTGTGTGGTTAAAAAATATGCAGTGTTTAAAATCTCAACTGTTTACGTAGGTCGTGTTTATTTCCTTCTTAATGTAGCATCTTACTCTAATATTTTATCGTGCTGTTTTTGTCACTTGCTACTATAGCGCCATCTTAACTGGGTTCCTTTCAGCGGACACTTTTTAATACACTGAAAAGGTCCTTTCTTCTTCTAGCCTCCATATTTTTTTGACAATCACCTGTATGTATGCCTTTTCTTTTTCGAATTGTTTGAGATGATACTATCATCTCATTTTTACCATCGCAGCGTCTGCCACCGGGGTAGAGTTCATCCATACTACCTGGAGCCACTGCGGTCGTGTACAGTACGTTTCCAGGGATCTTTTTTGCTACCTACCATCCGTCTTTAGAATGAGCTCCCCTTCACGGTGTTTCCCGAGCGCTATAACATGTTCTTCTTCCAACAAGGCTTGTGGAGATAGGAGGTAGGTAGAATTTTTATTATTATTTTGGAACCCTTGTAGGCCGATGAGCATGATGCCTACCCGATGGTAAATGGTTACCGTCGCCCATGGACTTCAGCAATGCTAGAGGCAAATACAAAATAGCATCGCGAGAAGCTTATTGCCGTATTTAAAAAAAATATAATATTTGATTTGTGTTAGACTAAATTTTAATAAATTACCTTTAGACTCTTTGGCGGGAACACGAGGAGTGAAGTTGTGTGATTAGTTTTATTTTGTCTATTTAATGTTTCTTCAGGTTTAAATGTGTAATAACGGTGGTTTATTAATTGTTTAATATCTGTGAAAGTGCACAAATGTGGGAAAATGAAACAAAGCCGTAAAGCCGTAAGCCGTAACGCCGGACGTAACTTCTCGGGATCCTCCAAAAAATATCAGTAAATGACCATCATTCTACTGAGATTATATTTCATCCCATATCATCATATCTCACTTCATTTCGTTATCATATCATTTCCTTTCATTTCATTTCATGCCATGTTTCATATTAATCAACTTCATTTCATTAATTTTTTGTTAATAAGTTTTTGTTAATAATAAACGATAAATTATTAAAATTTCATTAATAATATCATTTTTTTTATTAAAATTAAAATAAAACTTGACCTAAGGGTCTTAGTTACCAGGTCATAAAATCCCATAAAAAAAAAANATTCTACTGAGATTATATTTCATCCCATATCATCATATCTCACTTCATTTCGTTATCATATCATTTCCTTTCATTTCATTTCATGCCATGTTTCATATTAATCAACTTCATTTCATTAATTTTTTGTTAATAAGTTTTTGTTAATAATAAACGATAAATTATTAAAATTTCATTAATAATATCATTTTTTTTATTAAAATTAAAATAAAACTTGACCTAAGGGTCTTAGTTACCAGGTCATAAAATCCCATAAAAAAAAAAACATAGGTTTGTCAACTTTTGTATGACAGGTTCATAAAAACTTTAAACTTATTTGGTTAAACTGAGAAGCGTATGTAAATTAAATTAAGCCTCGACCCATCTCCTAGAATTGAGAAATCCATGTAAATTAATGTAAATCTGGTGATTATATTAGCTTTGATTATTATTATGAGGATTTCTGAATCTAAAATACCAGTTATCGCGGAAAGTATTTTGAAACAAATTGAAGCCCGCGTAAAAAATACAAATTCAAATCAACGTAGGTTCGAATCATATTTATTTAAATGATTTAAACTAACAAGAGAAATCGTCCTCAAACTTTAAATTGACATTTCGCTTTGAAGTTTTAACTTGTAACTACGAAATTATCGAAGTTAATTAATTGATTAATGTAGTTAAGACATTACACAGTATTATGAAAAAATAAGAACAGCTTTTAAGTCTAAAGATTACATTTAACGGTATTTATATTTACAGTTTCAGATGAAGATTTGTTAGCTTTACATTCCATATTCGGTGTAACGTTGCAAAGGTCGCTGGAAATATTAGAGAAGCACCCAAAGTTTATAATTTACACGAATCCAAAAGGCCGAACATTGATCGAAGTTCAAGGGGACAACGGCCGCTGCTATAGAGTGTTCCCGAAAATAAACTTCTGTCCGTGTCTTGCTTTCAAAAACCTTGTTATTGAACGGAAAACTGAGGTTAGTAATGATTCAACACTATCTGAAGACAAAGGAAATTGTTCGAGACAGCCCTTTTAGGTACTTCAAGCACCGGTCACCGTTCTCGTCGAACCCGTCGCTTGCGACGAAGGGCTCGACGAGTAAATTAACTCTCAGACACAGCCCACTGAGTTTCTCGCCGGATCTTCTCAGTGGGTCGCGTTTCCGATCCGGTGGTAGATTCTGCGAAGCACGACTCTTGCTAGGGTTCGTGTTAGCAACATCGTCAGGTTTGAGCCCCGTGAGCTCACCTACTAAAGTTAAGGCTACGCTGAAATAGCCGCTAGGGCTATCAGCTTAGGTAGGAAAAAAAAAAAAAAAAAAATCGAGACAGCCACAATCTATCATAAATACTGTATACTCAATTGAAGACAGATCCAACTTTAAATTTTCAATTTGATTAAAACTTTTCAAACGTTCCAATTTTGTTTCTAAAATTTCTAGTTTTATTATTAAAACCATTTAATTTTCATAATAATTTAACCAAAACAAAACATGTAAGTTGATTTAATGGTATTCTTTGAGAATACATACATTTCATTGAGAGACTTCTTTAAAGTTAATTAAATATAAATAAAGGTGAAACAAAAACAGTAAAATGGTCTTGTTCTGAATAATATATTTATTTATTTATCAGGTCACATGTAAACACGTTTTGGCAGCTAGACTGGCCCAATTATTAGAGCGGACCATCTCACATTCAGTTACACATGATCAATACCTGATGTTATTGAAGTCCATGTTTGACCTGACAGAAGAAAATGGCTGAAGATTCATCTCAATACCATTTCACGGCTAGCATGGACTCCGGAAAAACTCTGTGTAGTCTATTAAAAGCAATACAGTTTCAAGAGGTAGTCTCTGATGTGAATATTTATTTATTTTTCTTAGTAGATTTGAAATGCATTTAAATTCACTCAGAAGTCTTTTTGTTATATGTCTCCCAATTAATTCATAAAAAATAAATTTGAAATTTTTATTGTAAAATTTTAATATTATATATTTTTTTGGTTAGATAGGTGGACGAGCTCACAGCCCACCTGATTTTAAATGGTTACTGTAGCCCATAGACATCTTTCATCTCTCATCATCGGACTCACAAAAGGTCCTACCACCAGTAAAAATAAAAAGAAATTTGATTTTTTTTTGTAAAATTTTAATATATTTTTTTATTTATTTATTGCTTAGATGGGTGGACGAGCTCACAGCCCACCTGAGTTAAGTGGTTACTGGAGCCCATAGACATCTACGACGTAAATGCGCTACCCACCTTGAGATATAAGTTCTAAGGTCTCAAGTATAGTACATAATGTAGTATGTATGGTACATCTTTTTGGTACAATGCTGTAATTATTACCAGTTTTACAGTATCAGTTGGATTTGATATAAGTATTATTATGAACTTCTAAAATACAAGCAAGCAAAATAAAGTCATAAATCTCCAATTAATTGTATAATTAGTTACTTGCATTTATTTAAGTCGGTAGTTTGTAATAAATTCTCAATGTATTTTATTTCAGTCAGCAGTGTTCTGTGCTCTACCTGAAGGTTTGAAGTTAACAGTGGAGGAAGGCAAGTGTGTTCAAGCCTCAGCGTATATACCGGCTGACAACTTCACAGAATACCATGTTAGGGATGATGTAGATGTCATATTTAAGGTTGGAATACACAAACATATATTGGCTGTCCACAATCCTCAAATTCAAACTTTAATCATTCATTTTAAATCAAACATATATATCTACTATCTGGTCATCAATTATAGTAGTTACTATTCTTGTAATAATTATAGGTTCACCTTGATTGAAATGCCAAATAATAATTTTCAAGGTACCACAAAAATATGTATAAAATCAACAAATCTGGTACAGATTCAATCTGAAATCTTGCCATCTGTTAGATAATTACAAACTTTAGAGTACTGCACAAATTTTATATTTTTTGATAAATTAGTTAAGCCTATGTACAAATAATTGAATATCTACTTGTACTTTTCTAACTCCTCATAATTCCTATCTAAGTTTACCAAAATAAGACCCATCATTTCAAAGCAAATTGGAAGAGTCGCAATTCAAACCAAGTCATTAATAAATCTAATTTAATGTATGCTGTGTGTTTCTATGTATGTTCAGTATAAACTTTTTGTATGTTTCAGATCAGCTTAGCAGTTTTAGCAGAATGCTTAAACATATTTGGCTCGGGTGAAGAGGCCAGCTTGAAAATGTATTACAAATGTGAAGGATCCCCGCTGTTACTTGTGTAAGTTTGTATAACAGAATGATCTGATTTGATGAGCTTACATGGAAACAGACAACACCAAATTCCTGGTGTGCTCAGTAACTAGAAAAAGAGTTCTTAAATGTAGAAAAGGTACAGTCTGTTTGTATCTACATTAGCAACTTGAGTGCAATAAGGATGAGCTAAAACACCTCCGCAATATCTATTGAGAGGATCTAATATTGTTATAGCCTCTAAATAAAAAAAAAAATACTTTTATGTCGATAAGAGTAACGCTGTTTGTAATTATATAGCAGAAACGAATATCAAAAGAATAATATCGAGAACGCCCAAGAACGCCCGCATTACACACGCCATCTATTATCAAATAGCGAAAACACATAAAATAACTAGTACTACCGGGAATGTTCTCGATAATTGTAGACTTGTTTTGTCAACTATAAAAGCATTGCAGAGATAAAATGAAGGCACCACTTCGATAAAGCGGCACGACACGAGAACCCTCTCATCGTGGCCGCCGATAACTACATTCCCGATCCTGCGGACAGAATGGAAAGCAGTCGACGTCGCCCAAAACACGTCATTTCGGATCCTCCCGATCCACTAACGGTGCTTTTAGGCACCTCAAGCACGAAGGGCTCGACGAGTAAATTAACCCTCAGACACAGCCCACTGAGTTTCTCGCCGGATCTTCTCAGTGGGTCGCGTTTCCGATCCGGTGGTAGATTCTGCGAAGCACGGCTCTTACTAGGACTAGTGTTAGCAAACGTCTTCAGGTTAGAGCCACGTGAGCTCACCTACTCGTTCGACGAATCTAATATGACCCCTCTAGGTCATTAGATTTAGAATAGGTAGAAAAAAAAAGCAATGGTTGTCATGTTCTAAAAATCAGGAGCTATAAAAACACTCTCGTATCAGCTTACAGCCTCAGTCGTTTCGTAACGTCATGACGGACTGCGAGATATGGAGCCAGACTCCAGATTCGATGCTGGAGCTTCGCAGTCCCGAGGAGACGGACGTGGCGAAGCTCGTGGTCCGCGCCGGAGCCCTACTTGCGGTACTCGGGGACGTCGAGAGGAGTGCCGATGTCTTGGAGTTGAGGTTGCAGCCTGAACCGCCACACTTCACCATCGTTACGTATGGAATGCAGGTTAGCCTTTTCACTGTATTGGCATTTCTCCGAAAAATACGGTTTTTTTTTATTGCCCTTGTGAGCAGACGAGCATACGGCCCACCTGATGGTGAGAAGCCGCTGCCTACCTAAGAATAAAAATAAGTTTTCTCGACAAAGTATCAGTTGTACAATAACATATTCTTGAATTACCTTAATGATAATTCCTTTTGATACTATATAAACTATTATATGTATGTATGTGTGTATGTATATGTATATTTTCATTGCACCTACAACTATTTACTCTGCACTACCTTTGGTTGACTGGTAGAGAATGTAATATGTCCGCCAATGTAATTTTTACCTGAAGTGCAATAAATAAATAATGAAGGTTCTTCTTCTCTGTCAGTATCACTCTAGATAAAACTTTCACCGAAGTACAAATTAAAACACTATTCAACACTTTGAACATTCAAAACACACTTCACAAATCGCAATTCGCTTCTTCCGCTTCGCTTCAGGTGATCCGTTCGCTGTTTCGCTTCGAGTAGAAACAATTACTGACTGCCTTCATGTCATCTTTGCAACGCTTTTATAGTCGACACAAGTCTGCAATTATCGAGAACATGCCCGATAGTACTAGTCGTTTCGATGTGTGCTTCCACCCTCAGACACCGCCCACTGAGTTTCTCGCCGGATCTTCTCAGTGGGTCGCGTTTCCGATCCGGTGGTAGATTCTGCGAAGCACTGCTCTTGCTAGGACAAGTGTTAGAAACGTCGTCAGGTTTGAGCCCCGTGAGCTCACCTACTAGTTAAGGTTCCGCTGAAATAGCCTCTCAAGGCTATCAGCTTAGGTAGGAAAAAAACTGCTTTTTGATAATAGATGGCGCTAAACTTCTCTAACGTTCTCGGTATTACTAGCTCTTTTGACATCAATTTCGGCTATTTAGCGATAGATGGCGTTACTCTTACCGGCGTAACCGTATCAACATATATTACTTCAAACTTTAACAGAGTTTAATAATTAAATTTATTAGTATTTTTTCTTTTATTGTACAGGATCGATCCTGTATCGAAGTGCCTGAGTGCTCGGACACACTGCAGAGCTTCAGCTGTGAACGAGAACTGACCCTCAAATATCAACTCCACCACCTCAGGCTCTGCATGAAAGCTCTAGCTATTTCAAATAAGGTACAAATCTTAAACGAACCCTCTGTGAGTTAATCTACTCTATAGTTAAATTGATTTTCATGTGATTTTTAGCAGAATCTACATTCAGAAGTATATTTATAACACACTAGCGGTCCGCTCCGGCTCCGCTCGGGTCTTTAACAAAAATTTCAACGATATTTGACGTTGTTTTATTTTTTCTAAATAAAAGAACACTTATTGCGGCATAACTATAATAGTTAGACATATGCTGTCGCGAAACTTTTTGTAAATAATTTTATTCTATCATCAATAGTATTCGCAGGGCACGCGATCTAAAGAATATTTTAGGTAATTTTTTTGCGCCTTGGGTTACATTATTGGAGTTTTAGTAAGGATCCCAATTTTTTTTCAATAATGATTATAGCCTATGTCACACGGGAAGAGTGTAGCTTCTAAACAGTGAAAGAATTTTTCAAATCGGTTCCGTAGTTTCGGAGCCTATTCAATACAAACAAACAAACAAATCTTTTCTCTTTATAATATTAGTATAGATTATAAAACATTAACGGCCGTCTGGTGTAGTGGTGACATAGTCAGTACACAAGGGGTCGCGGGTTCGAATCCGGCCAAGTGAAGATATTTGTGTGATAAATATAAAAATATCTTTTCCAGGGTTATGGATGTATATTAAATATATGTGTATACTAAATCTTTATCTCCGTTATCTGGTACCATTCATTCTCACGGATCGTTTGGAACCTCTAGTTCTGCGGAGGGACTTCGGCTCCCTCTGTATTTTGTACCGAATGTTCCATGGGGAGTGCTCTGAGGAATTGTTTGAGATGATCCCATCATCTCGTTTTTACCATCGCACCGCCCGCCACCGGAGTAGAGTTCATCCATACTACCTGGAGCGACTGCGAACATCCACAGTACACTTCCACGTACCATTCGGCTTTGGAATGAGCTCCCCTCCACGGTGTTTTCCAAGCGCTATGACATGTCCTTCTTCAAACGAGGCTTATGGAGAGTACTTAACGGCTCAAACCGCAGTATTGCTCTAACACTGGATCGCAGAATCTACCACCGGATCGGAAATGCGATCCTCAGAAGATCCGGCGAGAAACTCAGTGGGTTAATGCGTGTCAAAGTTCACACAGCAACAGTAAAAAATACTTTTAACCTTACAGGTCGTATTAAGATGCAGCTCCACGGGCCTGTTATTGCTTCAGCTGAAGTTAGAAAGGGACGACAACAAACACATGTTCTCTGAATTCTATATAGTGCCTTTACTTGACGACTGATGTGAATTGTATTGAAAAGGAAACTCCTGTTATTTTGTTAATAAAGAATATTGAATATTTTCATGTTGTTTTTTTTTAATTACGCTAAGCCGGCTATAAAGAACATGTCATTAGTAATGTTATGTTATTATCTATGTAAGTCATTTCGGATCCTCCCGATCCACTAAGGGTGCTTTTAGGTACCTCAAGCACCGGTCATTGTTTTCGTCGAACCCGCCGCTTGCGACGAAGGGCTCGACGAGTAAATTGACGCTTCTTCTCAGTGAGTCGCGCTTCCGATCCGATGATAGATTCAGCGAAGCACTGCTCTTGCTAGGGTTAGTGCTAGCAACTTTTTTTTTTATTGCCCTTGTAGGCAGACGAGCATACCGTCCACCTGATGGTGAGTGGAATTAACCGGATTTCATAGACATCCCAACGTGAAAGCTGCCTCTCACCTTGAAACATGAAGTCGAAATCATAATTGTGATTTTTACACGTTCTGTTTACCTCCAACAAAACCGGCGCTGTGTACTTAGTGCGAGTTTTTTAACGTTCTCGATGGCGTAAAAGTTAACTCAAATTTGTATGGAGTTGGAACGTTTGCCTACGCTTGCCGCAAGGGGCATTTTTTTTTTGTATCGAGAACTTTAAAAAAACTCCCACTAAGCACACGGTTTTGACTAATATGAATGCATGGTGAAGCAATGAAGTCATCGTTTTTATGGGGGCATTATAAATGAAACAATTTGAATAAAATATATTCTGTATACATATTTCGTTTGATTTACATTTATTACACACGAATCTTACGAGGAATGTTATCGACTTATAACCTACTCTTACGGACGATATGCACTATCAAACTAATATTTTCTTTTTTGATCGATTTAATGATGGTGCCTAACTACCTAACTATTATTGTGAAAATTACAAAGAAATCGTAAAACGTATTTTGGACTGTTCTTTCTGTTTCTTCATCTCTTCAAAAAGTAGTTAGCTAGTGCATAACGTAAGTACGACATTTACTATATTGCATTTGAATTCGTTGACCAAAACTGTTTGAATAATATTGAGTCATTTTAATAGGTAACATTTGACGTCTGTCAGTTTTATCTTCATAGTTTATTTAGGTGACCTGCTTCAAAACATCGATTAAAGTGAATGAAAAAATATTTTGCGCGCCGTTACAAGGTTACGTTGTTGAATTTTGATGAATTGTCAAATGTCACCTATTAAAATGACCTATGAGTAGGCGTTTGAATTTTTTACACTATTTTATCCGTGGATCTAAAGTTAAGTCACTCTTCTCTGTTCTCTTTGTTGTTTAATCTCCTTTCATTCTGTAAAATGACTAGATCTTACACGTGTCTGAGTGTATCTTGAGGCAGCAATGGTATTTTCATCAAACAATGTTCTTTTGTGAAGTAGCCAGCCGTTTTAGTTCGAATGAAAGGATTTTATCCCATAGACACATTTTAGGATTCATTTCACCCCCTTCGCCTCAAGAATTGGCGGTAGGTAGGTATTTACGGTGCCGTATCTATGTGACTCAGTTAACCTCTTATCATTAAGCTTTGCCTATACATAGGATTTTTTTACAGGATACTATAAGATAGTACCTATATCTCAACTCTCAAGAGAAGTGACCCACCACAATTAATTCTCAGACTCAAATACACGCAAACTCGAATTATATTAAAAGCATTACGACTATATTTATAAGCCTTACAACATTAAAACACATATTAATATTACACCATTAAATAACATTCATATAATTTCACGTCAATTGTATATTATTCGGAACAACAATTTTGTTTTTATTTTATAAATATGCTTACGCTAACATATCGATTTTTTTTTAATTTACAGGTTACATTATAATAAATGTGTTTACTGTTAATGCATTTTCCTTTAAGTACATTTGCCATAATTATAATATATTCCATACAAATGAATTTTTGGATTTTTATCTATCTAATCGATCTAAGATTGCATCTGCCTAAGCCTTTTTGTTCACTGCAATGTGAAATTACAATAAAACTTTATCATCTTAAATTGAAATTGAATTTTTGTTATGTAAGTTTATGTAGATAAGATGACACAGCTCTTTACCAGAACCTACTACGATCAAATAAATATTGACAGATCATTTCGCTATTTAAATAAGACTTTGGATTTTATCATTCTTATTCTATGTGTATTATTTAATTCAGGGGCTCTCAAGCACCGCGTCAAGCTTTAAGAGATCGAAAATGAACTAAATTTAATAGATTAATGGTGTCCATTTTAATATATTCACGTCAAATATCTTCATTTCAATTATGTATTAAAATTTATGCATGTATCCAAATTGTAAAGAGTACCTAACTTAAGTTAGTGCGTCTCTGATTAAAAAAGGTTTAAAGCCGCTAGTTAAATCTGTTCTTTACTTTCAAATGTTTGTATTACTTAAATAACCTAAAATAATTCTGCAAATTTTATTTAATGGCCACCGCTGTTATAACCGAAAAAAACGTTCAATTCAATACAATAACTACAGTGCTAAATTGCTATAATGATAATTCAACTAGTCTTTTGTTTGTTAACCACGCGCCTATCATAATTCATTTTTCAAACCTCTACCTCAACTAGCCATAGACAATTACAAATTTTTAGTCTTAATTCTGTTAATTATACAGTAAATTGTTATAGCCAATTAGCCATTAAAAGTATATTTACTAGGTTTTTTTAATAAACATTATTATGATATTACGCTAACCCCTGTAATATTTTAATAACTTTATAAACGCAACAGGCGTAAAATTTGCTAGCATTTTTTAATTTTCATAATGTCAGTTTGACGTTTCGTATATTAATATGTCGTAATATGAAGATTCTGTTACAGAAACTATGTTTCTATTTATCTCTAGTTCCGCTTTCTTCTACTCGATTACATTATTAACTTAATTATGTTTACAAATTTCCTACATGTTCGGAGTATAATAATCGAAAAACATTTAAGTGGAATTGTGTGCTTAGTGTAAATTTTTAATTTCTTCGTTTGCCGCTAGGGGCGCTGCTTTAACTTTTATTTATTGCGTAGATGGGTGCACGAGCTCACAGCCCACCTGATGCTAAGTGGTTACCGGAGCCCATTCACGGCAGAAATAGGCAGGTTGGTGGTACCTACCCGTGCGGACTCACAAGAGGTCCTATCACCGGTAAAACTGTTAAAAATAAGTTAAAAAGCTCGCACTAAGCACACAGACGGCTGAATATAAGTGTCATGAAACGTGATTTAATTGGTACGATCCAAACTGTTGTGAAATTCAATTTATTACATCATGTAAAAGAATTTATTTAAAGCTTAAATTTATTTTAAGTCGTCGTGGCCTAAAGGATAAGACGTCCGGTGCATTCGTGTTGAGCGATGCATCGGTGTTCGCATCTCGCTGGCGGGTACCAATTTTTCTAATGAAATACGTACTCAACAAATGTTCACGATTGACTTCCACGGTGAAGGAATAACACCGTGCAATAAAAATCAAACCCGCAAAATTATAATTTGCGTAATTACTGGTGGTAGGACCTCTTGTGAGTCCGCACGGGTAGGTACTACCGGCCCGCCTATTTCTGCCGTGAAGCAGTAATGCGTTTCGGTTTGAAGGGTGGGGCAGCCGTTGTAACTATACTGAGACCTTAGAACTTATATCTCAAGGTGGGTGGCGCATTTACGTTGTAGATGTCTATGGGCTCCAGTAACCACTTAACACCAGGTGGGCTGTGAGCTCGTCCACAAATCTAAGCAATAAAAAAAAAAAAAAAAAATTCCAATTCGGTAGTAGATTCATTCGCGTAGCAGCTGCTCTTGAGTTGTTAGGTCTCCTTCGGAGGCGCTCAGGCAGCTGTTAGCCAATCCCACCCCTCCTGGCTGAGCCTCTGCTCGCCCACCTGTCCTAGTGAAACAGGAAAGGCCTCCGGGCCACCAGTAATCCTTCAATCATAAAAAGAATATTGCGCAAACTGTTCTTTACAACGAAACCTTAATATTTTAACATTAATATTATTATTATAAGTTCAAAAAATAATAGGCTATGCCATAAACGCTAAATAAATAATGATTGCACATCATCCGCTACCTTACGATAATACTATTAAATTAAATAATTAAATAAATAGCTACATGTAAGTGTGCTCTAAACACCTAAAAGGATAACATTAAGATTATGCTTACAATTTGGCATCTTTCTCATAGGTTTCGGTACCAAAAAGTGACAAAAGAACTATTTCATAATCATCACTTTGCCTTAATTTTATCTACAAATTGGCTATTGACTTTAATTACTACAATATGTTCTCAAGAATGTCGCAGTTATACAAAATTGAGAGTACAACAAAAATAACTAATGCTTATTTTCATTCCATTGCATGAATTTCACTCATTAGTTCCTTACATTTACTTTTAAACGAATAAATCGCCAATAAGGAGCAGCCTTTCTTTACCTCATAACATTTATCACTATTAATTTTTCCGATCAGTACAGAGAAAGGAAAGTTAATGAAAAAATAAACACACACCAGTTTGACATCTACTCTTCTACGATATAAAGTAGAATTTGTTTAAACTATGGTATAATCTTCAGATTAATAAATTAGCGAAATAGTCTACGTCGTTTACTGCATTCGAAGGCGAATGAGAATATTAGGGATAACAAATATTTATGAAAGGTGGGAGTGACAAAGCTACCGTATAACTATATACAATATATAAATAATAATAACCGTAAAACGTTTAGTTACGCTCTTCAATCCGTGCTATAAGTGAGTCGTCTATTATCAAAGGAGTACATTTGATAATACTGTGAATTTTCAAAGTTCCTAACTGGGTCGTTCGATGCGCCAATTTTATCTCGCATATGAACAGGTAACTTGAAAAAAAAAGTCCAGAATCAAGACCTTAACGAGAAGAAGGCATAAAAGTGCAGTTATAGATAAGACGAATGGAGAAGATAATCAACAGTCTCCCTGTGCTCTGGGGTATCGGAGATAATTTAATAATGATGTTGATTATTGCGGCTTCTGAAAACGCGACAGAGTGTATTATTAAATCAATAGATTAATCTCGAGTTGTTCAATTCCGAAAATTATTATAGATAAGAGTTTATTTACATCTGGATCTGATTAAACTGATTATCTGAACAATAAGTTCTTAAATACTTAAACAAACTTACTTCTGACAATGTAAACTAAAGGTTTACTAACAAAATACATTAAATTAGTAATAATAGTTAATACCTATACAATTTTTCTTCTATTCTCAGATATCTCTTTAAATAAATAGTCAACGACAAAAGGATTCAGTACCATCTCCATTGCTTGTCAACGGATTTAGGCTTTTTTTTTCTTTAGTAGCGTATTTACGAATTTAGCATTATCTATAACTTTTTTTTGGTTACGGTAAATTTTTTTTAAACGTCAATAACAAATCAAAACGTTCGCGTGAGCAACCTCATTTCTGAATACTGCTACTGTGGTGCACCTTTTTCCCATACAAAGTTTAGCAACGTCTAAAAATACGTACATCTTAAGATAATTTTTTTTAGGGAACGCGGCGGTGTAGGCTGTTAAAATCGAATGTGTTGCGGCGCTAAGTAGATGCGCCATACGAACTTGCCCACAAAATAGATGTCCAAAGACAAAACAAATACGATAATCTAGAGCCCGTCATATGACATTGCGCCATTTCATAATTTTAAAAACACGACGCTGTAAGACGTTGCACACGCGAACGTGTTTAATGCGATTCTAGACTTTCCGCCGTCTGTTATTATGATCGATTATTGCGCGTAGATTGATTTAAACAAACGTATAATGATTATCGACTGCACGTAGATCATGGGCGGAGAGCAGAGCCGCCAATTCGGTTCTGCGAAGCCTCACGTCGCTGCCGTGAGTTACCTGAGTAAGAATAATGGGTACTGTTATTACAGTAATATTAGTATTGCTATCGTAGCGAAAACAGTATTTGTAATTATCTTGGGTACTTACGTATTAACGCCACCGCGGCAAAAATTTCATGGTTAGCAATGGAAAAGCGAATCAGAGCACCCCACTTTCCACCTGGTCTTGTCTGCCCTACCCCTAGAGTGAGGGAGTTCGACTAAATAATGCAATTTTTATCAAAAAAATTAACCGTGGATATTTTCGTGACCATGGGGTTTCGCGGGGTGGGAACGGTGCAGGGAGTAAACCATTACCCCCCCAGAAAAATCGACGCACCATAAAGGAAAGTTTAATCGAATTTTTGCCGCGGTGGCGTTAATACGTAAGTACCTCCTCTTTTTATGGCGACTACTACGCTACCTATCGTACGTGAATGTAACTAAGTCAGGAAGCAAGAAATGCAAACGATTAAACTTACAAAAATAAAAACTAAATGAAACATACATGAACAAACAGAATACAAAGCTCATTAATTTTTTACTTATTCTAATGAAAGACGGGTCACTCTGCTGATTCGGCCAATTTCTTCAAAGTGCTCACACATCCCACTTACGTTGATGAAGCTATGCCAAAAACCTATTATTGTAAATAATTACAAACAGGCAAAGACTATAACACTAGACTGACTGAAAGACTGATGGTAGGACCACTTGTGAATCCGCGCGGGTAGGTACCACCGCCCTGCTTATTTCTGCCGTGAAGCAGTAATGCGTTTCGGTTTAAAGGGCGGGGCAGCCGTTGTAACTATACTTGAGACCTTAGAACTTATATCTCAAGGTGGGTGGCGCATTTACGTTGTAGATGTCTATGGGTTTCAGTAACCACTTAACACCAGGTGGGTTGTGAGCTCGTCCAACCAAGCAATAAGAAAAAGAAGAAATTTGGATATTATTATTATTAATTAAACAAAGCGCTATCACAAAACACTAATATCTTCCGGCAACAGGGCGTACAATGCCAGCACGGGTAGGTACCACAACCCAACATGTTTATGCCACTAAGCAATCACGCATTAGGTTTTGAAGGACGGGGCTGCCGTTATATAACACAATTAACACTACGGCTGCACCTCTCAATTACTTTACTTAGCAAATTAACATTGTTTTCAAACTACAGCGGTATATCATTATTTTTTATTTTATACGAGAGCTCAAACGCGCGTCCCCTGTGCTTAATGTGAGTTTTTTAACGTTCTCGATAGCGTAAAAGTTAACTCAAATTTGTATGGAACTAGAACGTTTGCCGCTAGGGGCGCTGTTCCGAGTTAACTTTTACGCCATCGAGAACGTTAAAATACTCGCACTAAGCACACTGGATCCCAAATTGAATTGTTCAATTGGCGTTCTATCCTTCAATCCGGAACATACAAACCCATCCTATAACGTCCTACCGTCACTATCGTTTGGGCTCCGAGAACGATTTCCTTACCTTGTCACTAAAACAAAAAAAAAACATACTAACCATAAACTAAAACCAGAACACAGCACAGCAGCAAACGAAAAATAATAAACGCAGGCAAAAAAAAATAAAACAAGCCATTCCAAAAATATAATGTTTAATAATCATAAAAAATAATAAAAATATGTACAACAAATTTAAAGCTGATTAACAAATAAAAAAAAAACAAAGTTCTAATTATTTTATGTAAAACAGAGAAAAGCTTTTAGGGTTACCAGCACGGTGTCGCTTCGTGTTTATGTTAGTATTATGATACAAAAGAGCTCATCTGTTTTGGCATCACAGTGTGGACTCCGTGACCCACCGTGAGGCGTGAGGTCGAATTTAATTGTATTAAGATTGTCCAACTTTTCACGGTACGATCGATAGCGTGTTCGTGGTAAACTTAGGTAGAGGTGGAATAATGTAAATTACATTTGGAACACATGAAAAAAATAAAAAATACATTAAAAAAGAGGCTAAAGGGCTGTGAAATTTTATTTTTATTTTTATTAAAAAAAAGGAACAATGAGGGCGTTTTCGTTATATCGCGCTATCTCTCTCTTTCTCTCGCACGATCACAATTTATTGGCGATAAAGTCAAACGGCCCAATGTTCATTCACTTTTTCGGATTTGACTAAAATCTGACCAGTTTCAAGTATCCAAACTTGCCCATTTCGGAATGGATTTCTAAGATTCCTTAACATTCATTAATTTAAATAATAACATTAAAAATAAAGATAATCATAACCGAAACTGTATCTCATTTACTTCACGATAACCTAAAAGCCCCAAAAACGAAAAGGCATTACGGCCTCAACCATAATAATTAAAATTCAATATTTATAGTAAAGCAAACTACAATTTTTGTTTCTTTTCATAGTTTACCAATAAAATTGTACTAATTTAAATAAATCGAAAATATCTTTTTGAGATATTTTTCAATACAAAAATATATACATACATAGTAAGTACTAGGTACAAATAGTACATAAAAGAATTAGTGCATATGATTAGAGTGCTTATATCATTATATATATATATATATTAACAGATTTTATAGAAATGAAATTTAGCTCGGCAAGTATCATGCATTATTAAATTTAATTACTTATATTTGGGATTTTTTAAATACATAATATATATTGCAATGATAATAGTCTACAAAAACAATGGTAGATATTAATCCATAAAGAGTATACGCCTATAGCCCGTCATTAAACAATGTATTCCTTCAATTCCTTCAACATAATAATAATATGTACAAACAACCATTTAAAAATTATATTTCACTTAAACATTTACAAGTATAGGTATGTACATCTCATAATTTATATGAAAATAAATAAAAATGCATTTTCTTCGTTATTCACTGACATAATCTATAATATGAAACATAAACTAATCTATGGTTTCGTATAAAATATGAGCTAAATTATTAAAGCCATGCTGTAATAGCCATCGGTTTTACGAACTCATTATTATTCTAAATTATCGGCAAAGGAACGGCAAAACAAGTCCTTCATAGATCCTAACTAAAACAATGTATGACGTCATCTACGCACAGACATTTCGTTCTATTCGTCCGATGCATAGACAAAGCTTTGGAACTAACGCTTATATTTTAACAATGGCAATAAAGATACAGTTAATCTCAATTATATGATAACAATGGACGACATATGTTCCGTAATTTTATTAGAATTATTTTATATCAATAATACGCCCTCATTCTTTGTTTTTTTTAACAACTAATTATAATTACTACATAGTACATACAGTGCAGGGTTGTCAACTGAAGCTAATTATTTTCAAAGAATAACACATTGAAACTACAATTTGAAACATGCACCAATTTACAAACTACAACATTAAAATTTAATCTGTACAGGTTTTTTATAACATGTTTTTTTTTTCAATAAACAAGGATATCAAAATTGAAGATATTGTTTTGTTGTCGGACAAATTGATTTTTTATATTTGTTGATTTATAATTTTAATCTTCGATCTTTTTTTAACCTTCAAAAATAAAACAGGTTGTACTTATTTTGAAGCGTTTTTATTATTCCATGGGTACTGCATTTTTTTGTAGTGATATTATTATTGAATATAAAAAAAAAAGCTATTAATTCCTCTGATTGAGGGTAAGATAAAATTGTAAAGGTCATCGACATTTGATTTCGATACTTAATTCTTACTACATTATTATCGTGTTATTATAAAATTCAATAACCCTTAAATGTAGCGAAAGTTTTCGGTCATCCAGTAGAACAGTAAAGGTCATTGACCGATATTTGTTTTTTTTTTTACCAAATTAAAACATAGCGACATTGAGTGATATTAATACTTTAGCCAGCGAAAAAGACAGCAAAAACAAAAAAAAAACAAAAAAAAAACGTTACGAGTGCAGAACTTAACAACACTGATATAATAATTATACATGCAATCCAAACTTTTACGTACCTATTTCTACTCATTATTTTTTTACTATCACATTAATGTGTGCGTGTTTGTATGTGTGTATTGAAAAAAATATTGTTAGAATTGAAGTTTTTTGTGATTTCGATAATGGCTTTATTCCCCATGCTACATATTAAAAAAAAAAACATACTAAATCCCTTTCAATGTCAAATTTTGTTTTATTGCACTATTGTAGAATTAATTTGTCCGTGCAGTTTGGGTCATAAAAAATCGGAGCGGTGAAGCGAGTGTTTCGCTCTCTCTCTTCCACTCACGAGCCTTATGGACGGGCATAGTGATGCGCATTATTGTTGTCGATAAGCGTTAGTGATAAAACTGAAAGAAAAAATCACTAATCGAACACCACATATCGCCGCAGCAAGTTAACGAAAACGGCAGAAATTAACACTCTGTAACTTTTCGAGATATATTCTTATTTCAGTGAAAAATTTTAACACATTGTTGATAACACACGTGCAAATATTATTTAGAATAAATTCTGCCGTTTTGATACAAAACAAAGGAGTAGCCATTGTGTGAATAAAGAAATTCAGAGAACGAATCCGTAAAAATACATTACTCTTCAACATAATGTACTATAATTTGCAGGTAAGTACAAATAACTCTTAACATAACAATGTCTCACCACCCTTCGTATACCACCCTGCAGCCGTGTACCTGCCTTCGATAACTCATTTGTTTTATATCGATAATGGCGTTGCGCCCGCGCAACATGCTCACCGCCCTAGCCGGGCTATGTTTTATGACCCAAACTGCACGGACAAAATAATTCTACTATAGTTTTTTTGGTGCAGCAATCTCCGATAACCGCTAAACGCGAGCTAGACCTCGAATTCGTCTAGTTCGAAAGCTTTTATTTATTTTAATAGCAACGATAAATTTCATAGCGCTACTCTATGCATGACTGTACTAGTCTATATCATAGTTTCTAACCTTAGTTCGTTATATTAAATGCAATGAAGTAGGAAACCTATGGAAATGAAACATCAACCAAAATTTCGTGCCACTGTGACGTCATCTGGCCACAAAACATGGCGGCTTTAGTGCTGTACAAAAGATTTCAATGTTATCAGGTTTTATCGATAAACGTTCTTGGCTCATTTTATTTTAAATATTGTTGAGTATTATTTATTTGTAGAATTTATACTTTAATGGGAAGTAAGTAGGTATATTGTTATGTGCAAATATGATATGATTTAGATGGGTGAAATCTAAGACAAGTTCGTCCTTCGAATTTGCCAAGTAAACGATATGATGATTTTTAAAAGTTGCTACACTGATTTTATAAAGTTGTCGTTTGTCGCAAAACATAAAGATATGGCGTAGTTCAAAGCCATCAGCCCATTTCTAGCATGCTAAATGTTATCGTATTTTGAGTACGTGTTTTTCTTAGACTATTACAATCTATTTTAATTGTTTTGCTGACTCTAAAGTCCGTAACATACTACCGCAGCGCACCCCAAGGAAGGTGCGCCGCACCATTTGAATCACTTTCGCTTGAGAGTGATTCAAATTTTAAACTTATCAAGGGACCGCGTGAAAAAAAAAACACCTACAGAACATTTATTCATTAATTACAAACGTCATTCCTTGTGACTTCCTCTCTAAAATCACTTAATTATTAAATATTTAACAAATTTACAATAGTGTTTTACTCACTGCGGAATAAAACTATTTTATTTAAATAGTTCCGAAGAGATTTTGTCGGTAGCCTTTTTCCCGAAATATCTAAACAGAATGTCTAAATATGTTTTGATGACATATTTTAAAGTGGTATTTATGATTAGTGTCATGATCAATAGATTCCGACCGAAAAATGGATTTTTCGGATGAGGGCTCCATAATGAATTTAAATACATATAGATAATAGTTTTAGGGCATCGACTTTCTTGAGATCCTATAAAATACGTTTTAATTATTATTTTTGTATGTTTTAAGCATGATAAATTATGAAATTTTATATAATCAATCATATTAAATCGATATCAAAGTCAATAAATAATGTACAACCCAAAACAGACGGCCGAACTGACGTGACAATGACATTTGGCGCGCTAAACATGGCGGATTTTCGGCCTCATTAGACGGAGACGGAGATATTTACGTATATTCATGTTTCATTTTATGTACGCACTGAAATACTGTTATATTGTTTTCCTGCGAGTTAAAGTGCTGAGTAAGAACGAGATAGATATATGTTTATGTATGTGCCTTCAAAATGGGTGCTATTTATATAAGCAATTGTACGTATAGAACAATATGTCGTGTCCCTACTATATAGGTCTATGATTAAATGTACCATTTGAAAGCTGTCAACTGTCAAAGGCTATTCATATTTCAAACCACAAACATAGAATTAAAAACAATAGAGTGCCTGTTAGAATAAAAATATCGAGACCCAGTATGCATATTTAAAACGAAGAGCATTGTCAGGGAGAAATTTCCTTCCAAAGAACGGTCGAAAGTGTACGACAATATATATTTATTTATATTTCCGAAAACTCTTCAGACTTCCCTGGCCACTCAAATAGTTTCTTCTTGTAAATAGTTTAAAACTTTTTGAAGTTATACTTCTTTAGGCGCGTTATGAAAAATTGATGAGTGAAATTTTACGATGCGCGCGCTCCGTGACACAAAATTAACAGAATAAAGTTGCCCACTATATCGCTCATTACAATACCACCGACGTAACTTGACGAGTCTGAATATAGCCGCAGGTGAACTTTCCGAACCGTACCGAGAATTACCGAATTTATACGATGTCAAGAAAAGGGATGTCCAATATGCGTGTTTGAGGATGTTGTTTAATTGATTTTTTTTCAAATTGATTAAAATTTAAATAAATAAAACAATTAAATAAAAATAAAGTATAGCTTCTTACGCGCGTACATAAGTACACGCACCCTTTTTTTTAAAAGATTAATCATTTTGTTTTATGGCGAATGATTTCAAATACATATACCCCCATTGTAAAGTATTATTTGGTAAATTATATACAAATTCTTAATAAGACTGGGCCGCTTATCAAAGTAGTTCGATGATTTATTTGCACGGTAGCCCTAATATGATATAAACATTCCTTCGGACTTTAAAACAATGGTCTCATTGCTCAACTATAATCTGTTAGCCTGTATATTTAGTTGAAAAAGAGTTTACATACAAAAAATAAGTTTGTTTTGATATTCATCAACACGAGTGAAATTAATTAGTCATAATTTCAAATATAAATAAGCATAACATTTTTATGTATATATTTAACAGTTTTTAATGAGTATGTGCAGTTGTTTTGTTCGGTGGGAATCTATTCATCTAAATGTTATGAACTTTTCCTAATAATAATTTTGTATATTATCTTTTATACTACAATTTATAGTTATGTACAATGTTTCATACTACTATACAAATAGAAATTAGCATTCTGTGTATCTTGGGTAGATGATGCCTTTGCAAAATGTCTATTAAAACAAAAAGTTGGAAATGTCAATTACCATCTGTCAAAACCATAGTTTTGCTATTTGTAATCTTAAGAGAACACATTTGGGTCACATTTTGTATGCATCAATTAACTAGTTCATAACAATCGTTTATATATTGTCAATCAATTAATTATAGGTTTTATTTTATTCTTTTTGTTTGTACTTATTATGTTTGTACGTGCGATCATTTGTTCAGTAAAGATTTTACTCAGAATATTTACAGAAAATATACATACGATTGAGTTTTTTTTTAAATTTATTTGGTGGCAAAGAGGCCATTTTCCCGGGCTGCGCGAGCGGTCATAGTTATTAACTATATTTGCGGTTCAAGGATCGCTCCGTAGTAGTGCATTGTAAATGTTCAAAAATATGGTTTTCTGAATGTATAACAAATTACAAAAAACACGAACACCCATTATTACCTACGTATTATTACGTATCTAAACTTGAACACTGAGTTACGAATGTAATACCAATCTAATCATAAAAGTTGTCTTATAAAGACTACATAATATTTATAGTTTGGATGTAATTAAATCCACTTTTTTTATTGCCCTTGTATGTAGGCAGACGCGCATACGGCCCATTTGATGGTGAGTGGTTACCGTCGCCCATGGACTTCAGCAATGCCAGGGGCAGAGCCAAGCCGCTGCCTACCGCAACCCACATTGCATGGCTATTTTAAATTTAACGCGAGAATATGTTTATTTTTGTTTATTGCCATCGGATGAACGCGTGGTCTACTTTATAGTAGAGTGGCCCGGATTATCTTCCGACGGCAAAATCGTATCGCTGCTTATGTATGTATGTATGTATGTCATATTCTGTGTGTGTGTATGTCGTGTTTGTGTGTATGTCGTATGTGTGTGTGTGGATGTGTGTGTTATGTCAGTCCCTCACTTGATGTTGCTGGTCGGGTCGGTCTGGGCAGACGACGTACTGCGCAAGCGTGACGTCAGCAGCGCCACCCGACTCCAGCGGGATGGCGTGCACTCTGAAGTGCTCGAGCATATCGAGCACGTTCGGGAACCATAGATGCTGAACTCTACACTGACCACCTTCGCTGACGGTCATGCGGAGGTGTTTTGCGCGACCCTGGAAACATAAATCGTGCGTTGGGGTCAATTTGTGCAGAAGCCCTTCTTTGATTGGCACAGATCAGCCACTGGGTACATAAAACGAAGCTTACTCTGTCAATGAGAACAATATCATGATAGATAGATGGTACTAGTTTAAGAAATGACGTCAATATAATAAAATTCGATTGGTGGGAAAGGGACAGAGTATCAAGTGTCTATTGCCGACACTGAAGAAAAATACTTTTTTTAAACGAAAGAGTTTTATATAATAAAAGTTTTTCTTTACATACTTTAAAATTATTTACGATGGTTTCCTATCAACGAAACAATAAGTTTTTACAATTGCAATTGTTTTTAAAAATTAGTTGACGCGTGGTAACATCAATCGGATAATCTTCTCGAAAACGACATTTTTTTTTTCTCTACCTATTCTAGTGACCTCAAGAGGTCATGATCGCCGAACGTGTAGGTGAGCTCACGGGGCTCTAGCATGGTGACGTTGCTAACACTGGCCCTAACAAGAGCAGTGCGTCGCAGAATCTACCACCTTTTATATGAAAAATGATATTATGAAATGAAGTTGATTAATATGAAACATGACATAAAATGAAATGAAAGATGATATGGGACGAAGTATAATCTCAGTAAAATGGTGGTCATTTACTGAGACTTTTTCACTGGACTTTTTGGAGGATCCCAAGAAATTACATTCAGTGGCTTTGTTTCATTTTCCCACATTTATGCACCTTCACGGATACTAAGCAGTTAATAAACCACTGTTATTACACATTTAAACCTGAAGAAACATTAAATACAACAAATCACACAACTTTACTCCTCGCTGTTCCCGCCAAAAAGTCCACCAATAATAGTCAATTTACCATCAAAACATACCAGCATGGGCAGGTTTTTGTACTAACCTGGAAATTGAACGTGAGGACGTACTCCCCACGTCTTGTTTCACTCTGCCTGACGAGGTAACATCCGTGCGCTGAATGCCCGCCAGCAAGCACCAGCGCTGCAGCATTAGACCGAGGCAGAGTCCCATGGAACCACGGCCATTCCGCTAACTCCGGTGCACATTCCTCAGCGATCGAAGCCAACTCTGGCTCCGGGCTCGGTGGCAACGATCTACGTGGAGGGAGTTCTGGTACCGGTTCCGGTAGAGAATCGGCTGGGGGCTGCGCTGTTGGAGGCGACCTCATGCAGTACTTGATCGTAGCTAACCATGACTTCATGTCGTCAACGTCTGATGCTTCTATTACATATTCCATGTTATTGTCGGCCTGGGGAAATTCAAGCACAAATATATAATATATATTTTTTATTGCTTAGATGGGTGGACGAGCTCACAGTCCACCTGGTGTTAAGTAGTTACTGGAGCCCATAGACATCTACAACGTAAATGCGCCACCCACCTTGATATATAAGTTGTAAGGTCTCAAGCATATTTACAACGGCTGTCCCCCCCCTTCAAACCAAAACGCATTACTGCTTCACGGCAGAAATAGGCAGGGTGATGGTACCTACCCGCGCAGACTCACAAGATGTCCTACCACCAGTAAAAATAAGGAAATGTGGTCCCGGCCATTGGCTATAGGTGCAAAAATTCTCTTAATTCATTATTTACAGTAGCAGTATCAATGACAATCTGTTGATAGAGTTGCAGTCTTGACCTGCACTGCTACTTCTAATATAATACAAAGAGCACAGAGTTGTATGCTGAATTGTTAATGCATCAAGGGTTCATGGTGAATTACATAAACACCTGAATTGCATTAAAACTTATGAAGTGTTCTAGGAACACTTCTCTAAAGATAAGGTATGTATCAGCAGTCATCCAACTAAAACCACTTTTCAAACCTCAGCATTGATTTATACCCTTAAATATTTAAAGCAACGTAATAATATAGTGGACATATCCAATGAATGGATGATTTTATGAACACCCTCTTCTATGAAATTATTTTGTCTATAAACAGACCTACTCATAGTCATTGCTTGATTGTAGACAGAAAAGATGACAAAAAATATATTCATAGTTGAAGTATCTCAGATTCACTAGGAACACATAATAATATGATGTAGCAATTAGCACACAATTTATTTTTTAAAATATACATATTAACATATTTAGCAAGGTTTCTAAGTTTCCTTGGTAACAAACTACCAGCACCAGACGAGTTTATATAAACAAATTATAGTAGTCAACTTCCACATTCTAAACTGTACTCCAGTTAGAGAACTGTTTTATCAAATAACAATTTTTAATGGTTTCAAAACATTTCTATAAAGCAAGGGTTCCCAAACTTATTTTGTCTACTGCCCACTTTGAGAACAAATTATATTTTAGTTCCCCCATTTTTTCACCTACTTAAAAACCACTATAGGGAGAGCTCAGTCGGTGTCTAAGAGTGATGTCCTAGATGAAATTACAAATCGCCTCCCAGGCCTCTACACAGCACCCCCATTTTTTTCTGGGTCTCTTACCAGCCCCTCCCTTTTAGGCCTACAGCACCCATAAGGGGGCGTTATCGCCCACTTTGGGAAAGGCTGCTATAAAGCATTTCAATTTAGCTCGGAGTTTTTGTAAGTAAGCAATAATACTTCCGTTTCCGCGCGCTACGAACGAATGAGATACACTAAAAATGTCGGCATATATTTTCCTACCTATGCTGATAGCCTTGAGAGGCTATTTCAGCTTAGCTCTGGGTGATTGGCATGCTAATGTTTGAAGAGAATTTATAATTTACAAAAGTTACACATTATCGAGAAGAACCCTACATCCCTTAGTACAATTTGTTTATTTCTTTGCAATTACAGGATACTTCCAATTAGAATATTTCTTATGAAAATTCAGATTTCCGTGTAACCATACTAACTAAAGTTATTTATTTTTAAATATTTGGTGTAGATTACTAGTTAAGCTATTGTCTCTATTTTTAAACTATTTACCAGTGTATGGTTAGAAAGCAGCCATTTGGCCCAATTTTTTTACTTTAACATATGTATGTATTATATCATATTTTCTTGCTCAGGAAAACATGACTTCCAAGAGGGTCTCAGGGATCATGAGATCTTCTTTTTAATGCCTAACTCTACATTTTCATAATAATAATGTTAGTATTGTTTTTATAATCATTCCCTCTAAGAATATTAACACATGGAACCAAAAAAATGTCTGAGTTTAATATTTACCTTTAAAACAAACGTGTTTTCATGGTCCGGCATCTCTAATGCAGTGGTCTCTCTCGCTTCCGATATTAGAAAACAAAAGACACCGCTACGAGGTTTTTGTGATTTGGGCGGAGAATAAAACTCTAACATATAACCACCAACAGTCTTGACGAGCGCTAGCCTGCATCGTTCCCATTTTTGTGGACCACTAGGTTGCTCCAAGCTTTCTGGCGTTAAATAATTAACTAATCCTTCCTTCCTACATTCTACGACAATTTTAGCTAGTTTAGTCTTGTTGTGCTTGTTCAAATTTGATGAGAGTTCAACTTCGTCTGAATGCTGTTTATGAAAAAGCCCCTTCCCTCGTCTAAGACCTTTGAATGATAGCCTTCTGAAGAATGGCTTGTGCTGTGTCTGGGGAGATTCAGTGTCTTCAGAGTAGTCACTCTCGTCATGACCGGTATGCGTTCCATTAGGCAATTTGTGCAGTGCTTTTAATTTTCCTATTTCTATATCAAAATGTTCAGTAAAACAGTCTATGAATTTCTTAAGCAAGTCCTTGTGAGTAGTGGGAGGTTGAGCAGCAGCTTCATGACCGGGCTGAATGTATGGGAGACAGCCCTTAGCGAGCTCCTGTGCGGCGGCGCGGGCCTCACGCTCGCAGTACTCGACCCAGCCGTCGGGGTCGCCGTCCGAAGGGCCCGCCATGGCCAGGAATCGCTTTAACAGCTCCACGAGGGCACAAATATTTACAATTTTACACTAAACACCGTAACTTACACTAACTGTACAGATGTTGTTTGTTTTTTTAACTATTCTCATGCCTGTTTTGCAATCAAAATAAAATTTACGATGCTATCACAAGTTTTTTTTCTCGCGAAAACAAATTTTGTTGCCATACTAAAAAAATAAGGTATAGCTCCACTTTCTCAATAAAAGTGATTAAATCGAACCAAACGATTCCTTTTTTGCTATTTGTTTCATTCACTTCTTTAAAACTTTTCCTGTCCTTTCATTATAAGGTTTAACATATAAAATCTCTGTGACACTATGACGACTAAAAAGGCCACTACCACATTTAGGTAGAAAAACTTCAACCAACTTGGGAGAAGTCGAAAAAGAAAAAGAGAAATGCTAGATGAGAATGCCAAAAAAGAAGGATAAAGAAAATTTACTTACATCTAAAGACTATTCTAAGAACTGATTGAGATATAAAATAAAATACACTATAGGTATAGATAAGTGTATTTCACTAAAAGTATACGACCGGTCTTTATTGGTGACCCGCTCATGTCGCAGGTCAGGTAAAATATTATAGAAACTAAAAAAATCGAAACTTAATATTCAGCTTTTAGCATTCAGCTTTCTAACAAAAAAGAATCATCAAAATCGATTCACCCAGTCAAAAGTTACGAGGTAACAAACATAAAAAAAAATACAGTCGAATTGAGAACCTCCTCCTTTTTTGAAGTCGGGTTAAAACATGCAGTGCAAAAGGCTTCGTATGCTACCATAAACCATAAAAATCTTGTAATATAATAGTTTGAGATAAGCGTTACGGTCAAATTCACATCTTGTTATTTGAATTACGTCCACTACCCCTTATTACACCTTCATTTATTTATCTCCTTTTCACCGTCACACCTTCAACCACTGCAGCAGAGTCTGTTCATACTGCTTGGAATAACTGCATTCAACGACAGTGCGTTTCCAGGGATAGTTTTCTGCCACGTACAATCCGGCTTTGAAATCAGTTACCCTCCACGGTGTTATCCGAGCACTATGACATGTCCTTCTTCAAACCAGGCTTGTGAAGAGTACTCAATGGTAGGCAGCGACTTGGCTGTGCCCATGGCATTGCTGATGTCCATGAGTGACGGTAACCAGTTACCATTAAGTGAACCATATGCTCGTCTGCCTACACAGGCAATAAAAATTTAAATTAATCTATGTAGACTACACTTTATTACTTTCACCTTATTACAATAAATAAGAGTTCAAATAAAACAAAACGCAAACTTTAGAATTCATGTAATTTCTAGAAATCTCCAAACACTTTTATTTCGTTTAAATTTATTACAATGCAAAACTGGTCACCGAATCCAATGATTTTTTTCTCCCATTTCTATAACGAAAGTTATAAATGACGCTGAATTGTTTTTGTATGTTACGATACGACACGGGTTTACATGCATCTAAGAAATACTTTAATAGCTATCAGTTATAGTAATGTGACAGCACAGTACTGCCAAATATAGTATAATAATATCCAGATTTTTAAGAAGTTATTGGTAGCAATTTTAACTATAACATATGAGATATCAAAAAGTATACAGTAGGTATTATGTTCCCTTGATCAATTGAATCTTTGAAAATAAAGTGAGAATACTTGTCGTATCGTATCGACACAGACAATCGTGAAAATGCGTATTTAAACACCGAGTTGGTTGTTCAGAATAGGGACGTCAAACTGGGCTACGAAGAAGTTGCCCGCAATCGGAACCCCTAGGTTGTACTTCATGGCGAACTCGGCAATTTTGAAATTGATTCGTTTGACGGTCGAACTGTGGAATTATTTTGATTACTTCTCGTCATATCATCATCGCTAGGATGTTGAGATTAATTTTTAGTATATATTTTTTTGTTGGTAACAAATTTTAGCTTAATAGAAGAGACAGACAACAAGAGATAAGACAATGACAAGATAAGTAAGACAAGTAATAAGACAGTGACTTCTTTTTAATTTCCCACTGATATCTGAAAATGAATTCTGCTAATCACCTTGAAACGTGAGGTCAAATTACATTGTATCACGTCTAACCCGCCCTTCAAAACTAGTAAATCCGGCAGAAGTCGAATGGTAATTTTTACTCATAAAAATATCTTACAAATAGAAACTGCAAGCGTATCATTGCTACTGTTGAGGTATATTTATTTATTTAAGGATTACCGACAGGGTTTACAGTAAGACATAAAATAACATTGATATGTATAGAGCAATTGATAACTGCAACTCTAATTAGAGGCAATCACAGCATGCATTACATTAATATATCAATAGAGATTTAACAATACTATTAATAATAATAAAAAATTAAAAACAAAAAAAATATTAATCTAGCTACGATTTATTTTCAGAAAATGTTGTTTTATTCGTGTTTTCAATAATCAACTTTATCGATAATCAACTTCATGACTCTTCCCGATATCTATTGGCGAATAGTAATACTATTTTTCACTAAAGTTATTTCAGCAGATGCCGTTCTAAGCCACCCGCCAAGCCAAGCCAATGAATGGTTTTTTATTTTCCGGGCCGGGCCCGAACCTCCTACGAGGTCCCCGCGCATAAGGGGCGCGCGGGGTATGTGAGACTCAACGATCTGCAGGTGTTGAGAGCAGATCGCGGGCCCAAGGATTTTAGGGCCCACCCACTAAACGACTCCCCTGCACTCTTACACTTGACGTCCGATCTCCGTCCGGGGTCAGAACCCGGTCAGAGCAGGGGGGTTCCCGCGGTCAACACTACAACCAGACACGCGGCGCCACCCCGAGGACGCCCGACCGACGGGTCGTCGAGGCGATAGTCGACGACCAACGACGTCGGTCTCCGCGGTACGGCGGCCCTACCAGGCCGCCCGGGCGATGCCGCTGGTGTTCCGGGATACCCCGCTGGGCCAGAACCAGCCTGCCGGGTCGGAACGCGATACACCGCCGACCGGGAAGTCAATGAGTGCTTAGTTTGAGGTTAGACCAAGAAAATGAATTGTTTATTTATATTATTTGTGTCTTTTTAACTCACGTTTTTCACCCCATAAATTATTTACAAGTAGAATGTAATGACCCGCCTCTGTATTTACGCAGACAATATTTATCGGATAGATACCTATCTATTCCGTTCATTTCAATTTTCTAATCACCCATTGAGATCAAAGTTGAATTATCTTTGTGAACATATAAACACATCTCCATTTTGGAAACATAAGCAGCCTCCCCTTCTTGTAGTAAGCTATAGAAAATTCTTATCATTAGAGTCTCCTACCCACTGTTCTAATTATCTTCCTCTATTTTGTTTTAGTTATGACTCTTTAATTTTGAATCCAAATGTTAATTTAAATTTTCTTAGTTCAAATCGTCATCAATCCAATTCTGAATTCAAATCCCTTGTGAACGAAAACTGGCAAGGATATCATTCTATTTTCACCGATGCATCTAAAATAAAAAAACAATTGTGTTGGTATTGGTGTATATCATCCCCAATACAAGATTGTTCAAAAAGTGAAGTTCCCTAAAGAAACATCAGTATTTACGGGTGAATGTGTGGGTTTATTAAAAGCTGTAGAATACATTTTACTAACTAAATTGAACCAAACAATTGTTTTTTCTGATTTTAAGAGCGCTCTGCAGGCTATAATGAGATTCCCATTTAAATCTCGTAATTCGAATCACGTAATTCTAGAAATAAGAAATATAATTTTTCAATGCATGAATCTCAATTTAAAAATCAGCTTTGCTTGGATTCCAAGTCATTGTGGAATTAAAGGTAATGAAATAGCTGACACCTTGGCCAAGGAAGCTATAACTTGTGGGGATGTTTTCCCTTTTAAAAATTATACATTATAGCAACCCTAACGCCTGCCGCGTCGGTAGCCGCGTCTGATCGCGCGCCGCGACCAATCAGGGTTCTCGTTGTCGGCTCCCGGCGCGATTCAAAGAGTAGCGACCGAGGGGCTTTCCTTTTGGCAAGCCGCGCGTGCGCCTTTACTGGCGCCGACAGTTCACCCGCAACTACCGAAGCATACACACGAGAATACGTCCGCACCTCGCTCGCTACCATTCCTTTTCGAACTTGTTTGTGGGACCCTCTGGAGTATTCATACCCAGTGCTCCAGCTGGACAACACAAAAACATGTGATTTGGTGAACTTGTCTCAAGATTTTCTTCATTCCAGTTGGCAGAGTAGCTGGACTGAATCAAGCCAGTCAGGGAAATCTTACAGTACTGTTCAACCTACAATACCTTCAAAGCCGTGGTTTTTCAAAATTCATTTCGCTAAACGTGTAACATGTCTCATTCGCATGCGATTGGGACATGTTTCCACTCCAGCCTTCGATCAACAATAGTAAACTTAATACAATAGTTACTATTGATGATCGAAGACTCCAGCCCATCTTTTTAAATTCAAAATTGTTGATAGTCCGGCCTGTGATTGCGGTGCTGAAGTCTGTGACGTTAATCACATTTTCTTTTCTTGCTCTCTAAATGATTGCTCTTCTTTCTATTTCAATTTGATTTCATTACGTATTCCCTTTCCTACTTCCATTAAGTGTCTTTTATCTATGAATTCTCCTAATGTATAGGTACAGTTTATTGTCTTTATTTATATTATCTAATGATGTACATACGTTAATTTAATCTTATTTATATATGTATTTTCATATATTCTCCAACTTTCCTAATCTTTCCCTTGCGAATCCGATTAAGTTTTTTTTTTGATTACGTAGTTTTCCAACCTTTTATTTAGCTCTGTGGCAAATGCGCAAGCCGCGCGAGCCAAAATCAAACAGAAGAAGAAGAAGAACTCACGTGTTCTCTTAAAAATGCCTAAACGATCTTGGAATATTTCATGATTTTATCATTATGTAATTCGTATTTAAATATAACTTCTAAAAAACATCGTCTAGTCTAGTGCATAATAACATCCATTAAATAGTGGAGAAATAAATAATAAATTACAGTTTCCGAAGCGAAACTTGGGCGGGTCGCTAGTAGGGAATAAAAAGTAGATGAGGTTGTATTGAAAAGTCAATGTGCTTCTTTACAAATAGTTTAAAACTTACATGTTAGGGAGTCTCGGCTCGTCAAATG